ATAAGAACATGGAAGCTGCTATAGTCTTTTGGGGAAATATATGGAATGATGGGAAGAAGATGGAAACTACTACAATGGGTTATACTGGGTTTAGGGTTCAGGGTTTAGGGGTTAGGCTTGCCTCGAGGCGCTGCATCCTGGCCATCGACATGGACTGCTGCTAGGCTTTCGCTGGCGGTTTCTGAAAATTCTGGGCTTCTTAGTTGTATTTTGGGTTGCAGGGTGCTATTAGTTGGACAAACATCTTGCTGCATGTGCAGCAGTCTTGAAACCCCAATGAAAGCAATCTTTGTGTCTTGCCTAGAGAAGGAACCCAGGCTTCTATGCGCAGTGCGAAGAGATACGCCACCCGCACTTGAAGGGAAGGCCCGTTGGCGTACAACAGAAGATGCTGGTCATCACATCCAACTATGCTGCCCGGGCTTTCGGCATCAAGAAGGGTGACTCTTTACAAGTCGTCCGGGAGAAGTGCCCGGAGATCACCATATGTAACGGAGAGGACCTTACGTTCTATGGCGAGCTGTCACAGCGTGCATTTGATGTGGCTGCACGCTGGAGCTCGAAGGTGGAGAAACTGGGCCTTGACGAGGTGAGCATATCTCAAAATTTGGGTCGCAAATGGTTGGGACTGGTTCTTGAAGTCTTGTTCTTCAGACCCTAGCAGATGACATTGGGATGCTGTGGTGCCACGAGGGTGTCTCAACAATAGTTACGCAGTCTCGCATGGGTTTTGTTTCAAGTGAGGAGGCAGCCTCCGGCATCAGGGTTTCGTTTTCCGTAGATAGTCAAGCAATCGTCCATATCACAGCCTCAATTCGAGCGTTTGGGCTTGAGCACTAATCCCTTCCCCCTAATATGAAACGTCGTCCCCATCCCCCCCCACCCTAGTGTATATATTCCGATCTGTATTTGATATTATGGGGGGAAGAAATTTTATCGTACGGCCCGAACATTCCGGGTGTATATCATGGGATCCTGTAGTGAAACCGAATTAGAGCCAAATCAAAATCGAATAAGAAGCCGATTAAATCAAATGAAAGGTGTAATAAAGTCGTAATACAGTCGTAATAAAATGAGCTAAAAAGTGAAACCGAATTAGAACCAAATCAAAATCGAATAAGAAGCCGATGAAATCAAATGAAAGGTGTAATAAAGTCGTAATACAGTCGTAATAAAATGAGCTAAAACCAAATGAAAAGCCATTTGGCATCGAATTCAAATCCAAATACAACTAGTTTCAAATCTGTTTAAAAGCGTAAGCAATCCAAGTATTTTTTTCCAGAATTACGTGAAATCTAGATAGAATCTGAGTAATATCAATTGAACTCTGATTAAGTTAGAGTCCGATCAACAACGATTGAGAATTGCAATAATCCCAATTAGAATTGCAATCAGATTTATGCATTTAATTGAAAACCATTCAATTCAATAACAGTCAAAGTCTAAGAAATCAAAAAGGCCCCGCGTCCCTGAGAGCCATGCTACGGACCTCCTAATTCAGAGGATGCGAGCCGTAATTAACTGTAGTCCTGGCCCTTTTGAAAGTAGTGTTGGGGGCAGAGTTCAGATTTTGGAATTCTGGGGAACCCACATGGCGTGGGCGGTTTAATCTTAGGTGAAAGGATTAAGAGTAGGGGAATGGCTTAGTTCGGCATGAGCCAGGTTTTCGTTGATGTCACGGAGCTGGTCTCGGAGCGACTGGGGGCCATGGAGGAATCAAAGCCGTCCTCCATCCGTTTCAAGGATGATGCTGAGCAGTAGAGTGTTCAAGTTTACTTTAAGGTCCTCGTTGCCGCATGTGTGACGATCATGCCTTCTCCTTGGGGATGGCACTGCTAGGTTTGGCACCGTTGTGCTACCAGTATCCGAATGAGGAACAAAGTTCAGACACCAGGCCAGGCAATTGTTGAATTACATGTGAGCTCACCGCACGCTAGGCTTGTTGGATGGGCGAGAAGCGGTGTTTTGCTGGCAGTTGCTATCAGTACTGAGATGACTACATCATTCATGTTGTTGTTGCCTGTCAGAATCTAGTGCTCCATTGTCCTTGCTGTGAGATCTATGTTCTTTAATGCTCTCATCATCTTCTCTTATGAGCTTGTCCTTCCGGAAGGGCCCCTAGTTTTGAGGCCCTACATGCTATAGTGGTAAGATCTAGAGGTATGTATATATATATATATATTTTTTTTTTGTACGCAAGCTTTTTACCCTAGATGTTACGTAAACGTTAGATGCCATGTGACCCTACCTAAACCCGTAACCCGAAACCTTAAATCCTAAACGCCAAACCCCAAAAGATCGAGACCTATGGGGGGCCACTTGGCCTCAGGAACAGGGTTCGGCAAGTATGGGGTAGACGGGTTGTCGTTGTCCTTTTTCCTGGGCTGGCTAGCTTTGCTGGGACTCCGAAACGAACCGTGCCTGCTTGGAGCGATGCGCGTGCCCAAACGGCAAAGCCTAAACCCTAGACCGCAAAGTCTGAAGCGTCAACCCTTAACCCCAAACCTTTCACCCGAAACCCTAAACCCCCTTTCAGCAACCTGGCAGGGAGCTTTCGCAGGGTGACCGGCAAGGCTTGGACGACTCGAGTCGCTGCTGGGCCCGGCTTGCTGTGGCTGGGTTGTACAATTCCCTCAGTTCAGGGCTTAAGGGTTTGGGATTGTGGTGACTAACGCTCATTGTATAATGGTACTGTAGTGGGGAGGGGGTGGGGGGCATTTCTTATGCAAGGGGGGCAGGTTGTACACTTCCCAGCGGGGGGGAGTAGCATAGGGAACATTCTAGGATTTTGTTTTCCGGTGAAAATTTCTCAGAGGCTGAGACCATTGCGGAGATCAGGGATCATGTGGTACGGCTGTAGCGCGACACGGAGTACTCTACAGTTTCTAGGTTTTGCAGCATAGCTTCTGAGTTTAGGATTCCGGGATATTGGGGAACTTGCGCTGATTAGAACTCAGGCCTCGGAGGCATCTGGTTGCTAGTGTAAGGATTGTCCGTAGTTGATCGCTCAGCATGGGTAGCAGTGATAAACATGGTTGTCATGGATGGATGGTTCAGTAAGCGCAGCAAAAGAGTAGTAGCAGGTGGTGGTGGTGGTGGTGGTGGTGGTGGTGGTGGTGGCGGTGGCGGCGGTGGTGGTGTGGTGGTGGTGTTGGTGGTGATGGTGATGGTGGTGGTGGAGGTGGAGGTGGTGGAGGTGGAGGTGGTGGAGGTGGAGGAGGAGGCGGTGGCAGCGGCGGCGGTGGTGTTTTTTCTCGCAGATGTTGTCGTTCTATAGGTGTGCGAGATCAAGTTTGCTCTGTTTCTCGAATGCCTGAAGTCACAGAGCAAAGCTCGGTAGTACCGTAAATGTAGCCCTTAGGCATTTTTAGGACCCATATGGGTAGTATCATTGGATGCATGGAATACAGCAAGCCACAAAGCTCAAAGTCCTACACCTCAGGCATTGACCTCGAACCTTTGACCAAACAGATACCCTAATCACCCTAATCATAGGGTTTAGGGTTCAGCGGAGTTCAGCTTTTAAGACTACACGCCTCCACTCCCTTCATTTTGAGACGCCAACAACATTCTGCAAGTGGCTGTCGCCAAGGTGGCTGCAGCTGTCTGCCGTGAAGCTGGATTGTTATAGGGAAATTTTAGACTGCAGGGTAGTTTAGGGTGATCTAATGTCGGATCCTTAGTTTTTTTTTTTTTTTTCTTTCGGTTTCTGTACGTTTGTTGTTTATTCCAGTTCTGTAGTCCCAACCCAGGAAATAAGGGAAGCGATCCTGGCAGAAGTTGGGCTCACGTCCTCTGCAGGTGGATGCCAAGATGAATGGTTCCAAAACATGGAACCCTCAAGAAGAGTTGGCTAAAGATGTTTCATTGAGTGGAGGTTTCACTTCCTCGTGGATCCAGCTTGGCGATTTTGAGGGTCGAGCTGTATGGAAGTATGTAGGCATTTGCAGACATGTCACTCGGGGAGTATGCAGGTCTAGCGAAAAGGAGATTTGGAGACCACGAAGGTGTCATTTGGAGACTGCGCCGTTTTTTGTCAGGGATCTGTCAAAGTCATTGTCTTGATGCTTCTGGGGTCAGGGGCTTCGTTTGTTGTTGCCCATCGCCAGGCATCAGCGTTTCCAAGCAACTGGCGAAGATGGTATCATCTTGGAAGAAGCCCAGCCAGCAGACGCTTTTCCTGCCAACAGCAGACCGTTTAGGGCATCTTATTCCTGACGATCTGGCTGTGCAGAAGATTCCTGGCATTGGCTTTTCTTCCACCCAGAAACTTCAAGAGGAGGGCATTAAGACGACTGGTGAGATTTTGGCCGCCCTTGATTCACAGGGACAGGATTACAAAAGGCTCCTTACGCAGTTCGATGCGGGGTCGCTGGGCACCATGAGAGCCCTTTGCCTGGGCATGGACGCGTCAGCCGTGAAGTCATCTGGTGCGCCGAAGACTTGCTCTGTGCAAGACTCTTTCTGGCAGAATCCCGTGCGAACAGATACCCAGGTCAAAGAAAACCTCCTGGCTCTTGCGCAGAAGCTTCTCACAAAAGTCCGGAGTGATGAACGCATGTATGGCTACCGGCCGATCCCAACCTTCTCCCTGAGCCTTCTGCATGCGCCAAGCTCCGAGGCCTCTGCAGCGCGCAGAGGCCGGAAGCAGATGCAGCTCGGGGGTTTTCAGATTGCTCGTAGAGTCGAGGAGCAAGCTGACGACGAGCGGCTGCAAGGTCAGATTGCAGATCGGGCTTTTGCTTTATTCCGCAAACTGGTGCCGCCTCAGGAGCCGTTTGTTTTGCACATCCTGAACCTGCAGGTAGGCTTCGGGGAGGCACTTGGCACGCAGCGCCGCCTCAGCTTCAACGCATCGCAAGCGCCGGCACTCCCCTCAGCGGCACCCATAGAGGGCATCGAGCTCTCAGACAGTGGGGAGGAGACCGTGGGTCTCAGCACCAAACCTGAAGATGCTGACGTGAGCGCCGTGGGCAGCGACGATTTGGCATCCCTGACCGCCATGGGTTTTGCGGAGGGCCTTGCCCGGCAAGCGCTTGCGGAGTGCGGGGATGTGCCACGAGCTGTGGAGAAGCTACTTGCTAGGCCAACCCCGCATTCCCCAAGCGAATGTCGGGCTGAGAAGAGGCGGAGGTTGAAGTGCTCAGTCGGTGCAGACGCCAGTGCTGCAGTCGTTGATCTGCTAGACTAGAACAAACAGCAGAGATGCTTCCCACCCAGCTCTGGGGAGATGCCTGGTGTTCTGGAAGATAGTACCTTAGCACTCTTGTTTGTGTGTACTTGGTTGCTAACATTATGCTGATCGCAGATTATGACCCTTTTGAAACGTTGGTCGAGCACTGAGGAGGCCTAGATAAGTGGCTAGACGCTACCTGGCCAATACAACATCTTTACTTGCTGGTCATGCTTCTGCTTCCATTGCCCTATCATCACTACTTGGGGTTGTAGGCTGGTAAGGTCTGTCTTTGGCATCGGCGTAACAAGTGTACTGCGATGCGAATCCCCAGCCGCACCTCCAAAGACACAAGCTAGCAGCAAATCATGGTTTTTTTTGGATCGCCGGCCCTACTATGCAGGTGACGTGAAGCTTGGTGCTTATTACAGTAGGTGGAGTCTGAGCTGCCCTTCCCCTAACTAACATGGTACCCCATGCATCCCCGCCAGTAGTCTTTGTAGGGTCCTCATGGGGCTGGGCATCCTAGTACAAAGTTAACAATTCCGAACTTTCATTTGCTGATGCAGGTGGAAGCTCGATCGCCTGGCATGCTGCAGGCAGTGTTTTCGGCTAATTACTGTTTGGGGTATGTCATTTTGTGCGGGGAGTGTTTTTGGGGCTTGAAGGAGCCGAGCGCGTTGAGGCATACCAAAATCAATGTCCTTGTTTACGCCTCCTGCTGTGATTCCCAGTTAGCTTTCATTTCGTGCCGGAGTTATGTTCCTCAAATTGCAGAATGCGTCAGGTGTAGATTCTTTTCGGCCCTGCAAACACGATCTGAAGACTGCGGACTGCAACTATTGTTTTCCAGTTTGGACTGAGGTGTGCTCAAAAAACATTTTTTTGGGTTGTTTTCGGGCAAACGTTATTTGGGATTCAATGATACTGAGATGAGATGAGAGAGATTTTGTCCGTATGTATGACAAGGGTGCTTACCCCAAAACAAACTTTCCATCTGAAGCACTGCAAAAAAATCATCAGGATCCCCAACAAAAATCATAATTTTGACAAGCTGGACTCCAAAGCTTGACCGCGCATACTTTTGGATTTGAATTTTTCAGGCCAGCGCAGAGGGCGAAGGGCTGTGACCTCAAGCAGCTGCCAAGAAAAAAGAGGGCCATCCAAGCTGCAGGTCCAAGGCTGAAAAGGGCTTATGGTCAGGCGTTCAGGGCTCAACGTCTACAGGCCTCATGGCTTTGGGATGCTTTGGGTTGGGAATCTTGTGGTATCTTGTGGTCTTTCGAATTTTATGTTATAGTGGAAGATGCGCACCAAGGGACTTTCTCTAGAGAAAGCATGGCCCGTTTTCGGGGATCCTTGATTTCAAGCCAATCTTGAAATATTTACTGCCAACAGCAGTCGGCACAGTTTGCTTTGTTCTTTGCAAGTTTGCCATAATTACTGCAGGCAGTGTGAGCAACAGGTTCAGTTCGGGTGCCAGTTAAGCTAGAGGGTCAGAACTGAGCTAACGTTGGTCGTCGCACAAGAACGATAAGGCAAGCGCGCCATCCCGAAAATCAGAATCAACATGTTGCCGCAGAGGGCCTCAAGCCGTAGCAGCGACGAAAGCATTTGATGTTTGTGGCTGTGAGGCTCTCCAGCATGGAGCAGAAATAGGCCATCCACCGGCCCAAGGATAGGTGCGATCTCATGCCCCGAACTGTGCCAGCCAACAGTTTCGAGCCAGCCCCTTGAGTTGCTGCAATGCAGCCCAAAGTTGTTTGGCACGTTTTCGAGTTATTCCTCCGCTGGGAGCCCCGACCAGCCTTGTATTATGCCTAAGCTGACGTTGTTTCAGTATATTTCAGCCAGCCATAAGCAACCGAAGTGCTGAACCTGAACGCACTCACACTCAGCCAAAGCTTACACTAAACTTCGGCCTGTGTGGCTATAAAGCCATGGCCAGAGCACGGCAACAGCTAAAACCTCCAAATGGCAAGACCCCAAACACTTGTTTAGCTAGCCCTGTATGTGTTCCCATATTTCTTCGTTCTCCTGATTTTGGAAGAGCACAGCCTGAAGTCTCAATGTCCCTGTCCGCCCTGGTGGCGATGGCTCTCCGATTACTGGGCCTTGGTGCGGCGGCACTCGCCGCCCTCCTCGCTCTGCGGGTGGCGAGGCCGACGGATTGACCATGGGTTTCAGGTTCTTCTGGAGATTTTGGAGGTAAGGTAGGGCACGTAAAGATGCAAGCCGGAGACTGCGATTTTGCAGCATTGGGTTGAAAGTTGTCGGATTCACAGGGTCAACGCCCCTTTTAGCCGATCCCCAGACGGTTTCCTACATCGCTTCTGTAGTTCCTGTCGAGTAGGCCTCCCCCGAGGTGCATCCCAAAATGCTGAGTTTGTATCAATCAAGCTCCGAAAGGGAGCCCCCACTCCTGCAACATATTCGAGTCAAGGGCAAGCTACTTCCCGAACGCTGTTCCCCAACCAGCTTGGCAGCAGGTGTCGCCTAATCAAGGCCCTTTGTTTGAATGGACTGGCCCCAGTTTAAATCCTTGATCTCCAGTCAGTTGAAAGCTTGGAGACGTGCAGCTTACCTCTATTCTAGAGGCCTGCTTGGCTTCCGCCCGCTTGCAGGCGACATAGCTTGCTCTCTTCCTCGCCGCGCGTTGCCCGAAGGGAGGCAGCAGGGACAAGCAGGTAGAGGCACCATGAATCATACTACAAGCCACTCACTATTCCCACATGCTCTTGAAATCACATTCCTAGTTGGGCGCTGACGGTATAAGTCAGATGCAGTTCGTGCCTGGCATCTGAACTTCATGTGCCCGTGACTACGTAGCTCGTGCCCGGAATCTGGACTTAATTGGCGCGTGGCTAGATGCAGCTGTCACGTCCAAGTGAAATCCCTCAGCAGGGCTCCTTGGGGCAGGCCGCAGCCTCGCCACCACCGTCTTCCATCCAGCACTGTAAAGAGGGTGGAGGGGATGAGGACTGAAATTTGCTTGCCGTCGCAGAGAGCAGAGAGCTACATTACATAGATGCCTGTAGTTTTGTGTTTGAAGTGTGGGATGTAGTTTTGATAGGGGCCTCCAACTTGAGAAATGCCGAGATCCGTGATCATGACCATAGAAGCGAGGCTACATTATCTCGGATGCCTGCACGTTGTGGCATTTTGTTGCGAGCCACAGCACTGAGAGGAGGCCCCTCCCCTGGCCTTCACGGGTGCGCCGAAGGACTCAGACGTGGAGGACTTCCGACTAGCGATTCTTCTTCAGCTGCGGGCGTGTCGCAGTTTGCTTTAAGGTACCAGGGTACTGCAAACAGTGTAACCTGAGAGTTAGGTTTACGTGGAAGAGATTCCCCGACTCTGCCGGCAGTCATGCAGTCAACAACCTTGAAGGCGTAAGTACACTATACGCAGATGTGCTTTGCAATTAGTCTTCTTGCATGTGTGTTCATACGTGTACATACATATGGACTTGTCTGTTCACATGCCTCTAATGCATGCTGTGACTTTGTTTGGCCGCTGCGAACTGTAAGCTCAAAGTTTCAAGAACAACCGAAGCGATGGTTATGCTACTCAGGACATGATGCAAATCATTCAGGCATATCAGGTTGTAAGCGACAAGAATGGCTTCAAGATATTGCAGTAAATTCAGGAACAGGCTTCGGGCTGCGAAGAACCCACGCGGCCGTCCACCACCGCTGTGGTGCCTGGGTGAATCTGAAGCCAAAGGAATTGATTAGAGGGGCTGAAGGGCGAAGGGTGTTAGGGTCTGAGGGTTCAGGGGATGGAAAAGGGTTCAATATGTTGGGCTTCAGACTACAAAAGTGTGCATGATAAGACTGAATCACCGTAGCGTGCCTTTCCGCTTCTTAAGGAGAGCAGGGCGCTTACACCATACTCATGCCGGATCACAGTCTACGTTCGATTTTCTACTAGTATTTGCACCATGTGCCAGGCCTGGGAAATTTCCTGGCACATAGAGCCTGGACCTAGACACCACCATGTAATTCACTCTTATAACTCTAGCCTCAGATGCCGAGTCTGGACTTTTGCAGTCTCGGCATCATGGGTGCAAGTAAGCCGCATGGGAAGCGATGACGTCCCAGAAACAAAATTTCGGAAGATTACGCTGCCATAATCCCCCTTATATGGGTTCATACCCCAGTCTTGTTGTTGAGCCTGCTGGACGGTGGTTTCCAAAATTGGCGGTCGCTTCCTCGGAGTCATGATCGCCAGGAATAAAGTTTGTTTGGGGTTACATGTAGGAGACCTTCATTTCTTTGAAGCCCAGATGAGTGTGCTCAGGTTGCACGCCGCATGATCTTCACGCACCTGGGGCTCCGCCTCAGCAGCTAAGCCGAATGAAGGAGTAAATCTTCAGTGCCCGTTCTATTTCTGATACTCCTTGTGTAGCTACTTTTACAAGGGTCTCCATTAAAAGCCACCCCAAAGCCCCTAGAGCTTCGGGTGTAGGTGAGAAAAAGATTCATGCCCAACATTACAGTCTGCAGTTCAATATTGGGATTTGTTCCTTACTGTCCTACCAACATCTCGGGAGTCCAGGAGGCTAGGAGTATGTAGCGACCCTTATACGACTTCCATTGCCTCTTTGGTCACCAACTAGAGTGAGAAATCCTCGTACCGCCGCCTCTTCACTCCACACAGTGTTCGCTTTGATTAGGTCCTTTAGTCATCAGTTTCACGGCTTGCAGAATGCCTGCCTTGCCCTGAACGCGCGGATCGAGCTTGCCACGCTGAACCCGAAGTGTCGCAAGCTATTACAGAACCAGCATGTGTTAGTTGAGAGATACCCAGAATTAAAGAATCTCCCATGGACTTGAACGGGAATTGCCACTTGCCTTGCTTCTGGCAGCCCTGCGCAGGTGAGGAGCAGAGGGCAGAGGAGAAGGCTTTCTGGGAACAAAAGCGATCAAGGACCCGTCCGTGAACGTATCGCTGGCTCTTGCCGAAGTGCAGGCGCCGCAAAACGCTCAGCCTCATGGGCATGAGGGTGGTAGAGC